CCCCCCCCCCCCCCCCCCCCTCCTCCTTATGCTTGACAATGATAGGTGCATAACTTGAACTAGATACAATTATCATGTCCTTTTTCATGATACTTCACCTTCTGAGTCTGAACGTCTTGCTTCATTGCGTTTCTCTTCAAGCTTGAGATTGTTTGGACTGTTGTGACAAAGATACATGTAGAAGAACAGACTATGGACATTAATCATTAAAAAAATGATGATCAAAGATCTATATTAAAACATTTCAGTGGCGGATCCAGGGGGAGCGTCTGGGGGATTTGGACACTCTCTATCAAATCTTTCTTTTTTGTACTATTTGTTTGACATTGAATGTATGAATTGGTATCACTTATCACTGTGAAACTGGTTTTGTGGTTGTCGTTTTTTAAACAAAATTTGCCTTGAACTTTGCCACTAGCCTAACCTCAAGGTAAATTCAAGAAATCGATGTAATTGTTTGGAGTGTCTTCTAATGGTCTGATGACAACTTGGCCATTAACCTTGTTCTTTCGGCTGGTCATTTTAACACTTTTGATCATCAAGAATTGCCTAGAAACACTCAAAACCATTGCAGCCAAGCTTCAGATGAATTATCAAGATGTTTTCCAAACTTATTAGATGTTTGACTACAATATCGAAGCTGTTACCATGGTGAGGTCAAACACAGAAGAGGAATGCCATGAATGGTTTGAAGACACCTCTAGACTGACTGGCTGAAAAGATTTTTGCTACAGTCTCAATGCCAGGAATCACTGAGAGGCAGACACACAGGAATAGGGATGTTGCTAAGTGCTGACTGCTGGCGAAATTCGCCGGCTGATAAAGAAGATATCACCAGCTGGATTTTGACGGAAGATCACTCTGTAAAGGCCAATGAGCAGTTTTTGGGTTCAAGGTGTGTTGCGAAAGGTTGGGGACCAAAACTTTGTTCCAAGTCTCTCACCAAAAATGGTGACTGGCTCAATTAAAATCTTAGCCAGAAGAGTATTTTCTTAGCTACAACCCTGTAGGAACATTGTATGTACACCTACAGTGTAGGGTAAACCTGGAAATGCATTATTACGTTAATGTTGTCATACCTTTTATAGATCATTTACTGGTAGAAACGAATTTAAGATTCAGTGACAATAACAGAGCTGGAGTCGAAATTTTGCCTTGGTTCCATTTACAATTGTAAAGCATGACAATCATCAAAATAATTTAGCAGAAAAGCAAAAATATTTACAACAGGATCTGCCTACACCCTCCTCTACTGCGCAATCTCTTCCTTGGTAAAAGGGAAACAGTGCACACCAGCTTTACCACTACTGGGAAATCTTATTGAGTGTGTAAATTATGCTGATGAGGATAAATATCCAAACATACATCTTTTGCTTATAATGGTATACACTCCCTGTTAGTTCTGCCAAAGCTAAGTGTTAATTCTCTGGCTTGTGAAGAATCTAGACATATCAGGATGGCTTAGGAGAATATTCAAATGGTCCAGGGTGCATTCAGTATGGAATATGCTGAAGATTTTCGGCATGACCTTAAAATTTTGCAGCATACAGGCATGGGATTGAAGTTTTTGGCATACAGCAGTGTGCTCATTTATATTTGTTGGTGCTAGTGTATAAATGCTTAACTGTGTAAGGCGGCTTGGTGTGATAACTACGGCTTCTTAACTTCCTTTCATCACCATTTCATCCCATACTGAATAACGGGTATCTTACATGTATATGATCCGTTTGAGTCCAACGTTTCCCAATGGCTGCTTGCCAGGCGCTTAGTACCCTGGGTACCAGAGGGTTTTTTCCTTTTTTCGTGGCTAAGCTTTTAACAGTGAGCAGTGAAGCCACAATTGTTGGCGAGGAATTTAAAAAGCCTTGGCATTTTTTTGGTGTGGAAGTCTTGCAGAATGCACCCTGGCAAATGGTGCACCTTTATGAGCAGAATTCATGTAGACCTTAAGAGCCAGTGAAACTGATGTTAAATTACAATTATAACATACAACTGTGACTGTGGTTAAAGAAGTTATTTTCCACCAAAAAGGCTTCCACAGTGTTTCTGAACCAAAGTTTGGACCTCCCCCGTTTCCCTATAAAAAACTCTTAAATCCGCCCCTGCATTTCAAAAAAAAATTAAAATACTCAAAGATATATGATGGCTCTGAATACAACGGGACCCACAGTGAAATGCACAATGAAATGAATAAGCTTAATTTTTATAAATGAACGGGTTTCTTTTTCCATCACATACTTTCAATGAATTAAAATTCAATACGAGTTGAAAACATCATTTAGCACAACTTAGGTTAACTTACCATCTCATTTTAGAGCTCCAGTTGTTTGTATTATCATCAGCTGTTTTCGTATCTTCTTCGTCTTCTGTCGAATCGTCGTCCGTAGTAGATCCATCGCAATCCATTTCCCCTTGCTTTCAATCCAACTTTTCTCGGCTTGGCAAAAAATTCTCAGATAGATACATGTGTCATTATGTTAGCTGCTAATAAGAAGTCGGTCACTCTATCGATCTGAGTCTCGAAGCATTGGAAAACTCTGTAGGTCACGATAGAAGGCATCCCGATTTTAAATGGCTTTTCATCAAAATGCCACGCTTCAGTTTAAAGCTGGGATGTAGTGGGAAAATTTTACTTGGCTCGTTTGAAGGGCCAACTAAGCGGCCATATTTGTTTGTGTCTCAGTTTTCGCGCGGTTTGACGCTGTCCAGTTACATTACAGCGCTTATCTATACCACAATGCCTTGAGAGACATGAAAACGCCACAGGTTTGGCGCAGTAATCTAGAACCAAAATTCAAATTTCTTTTGCTGTAGCGAGTGGAGAGAAAGGTAACGTTTGTAAGGCTCCACTGATGCGATGGCGGATGCTGGTCCGAAAGCAATTTCATTATCGGTGAGTGTAAACTTCGGACCAGGGTTAAAATGCAGACTGCAGACCAGGTTAGACTGTAGGTCGTTTTCATCATCAAGAGCTATTAAACCGTAAACAGGCTAACTGGAGCATTATTTAAGCAAACCTGAGTGATATTCAATCTAACCAAAGTAATGTTCAGGCTCCGATTAGCCTGAACAACCCTTTTTACGGTCAGCACCCGATAATACAAATAACACGATATACTTTTAAAAAGTCTGTAGTCTGTAGTCTGTAGTCTGTAGTCTGTAGTCTGTAGTCTGTAGTCTGTAGTCTGTAGTCTGTAGTCTGTAGTCTGTAGTCTGCATTTTACCCTTGGTCTTAGTACAGTCTGCAATTTACTCTCAGTCTGCATTTTAACCCACCCCGGTCAGTCCGCAGTCTGGGTTTTACGCTGATGACCGATATTTATATCCAGAAAACAAAATCAAACCGATGCGGGATAGTAGTAGTAGTATCACCCAACTAGTGGACTAATGCAAATCCTGCATTTTAATTGGCTACGCTACTAGAGGACTATTAGTAATAGTCCTCGAGTAGCGAAATTGGCGCAATCGAGCGTGACGCTTTCTTTCGTTTTATTCCCAAATAAATATTTCTTCAACTTGCATTTGCTAACTTTGTTATTGCCTTTTCTGTCCGACTAGTTGGGTGATACTAAAACAATTAGACCCCTCGCCCTCAAGGGCCACGGGTCTATAGCCCATTCGGCTTCGCCTCATGGGCTATTGACCCCTAGCCCTTGCGGGCGAAGGGTCTAATTGTTAAATAGCGTTATCCAGTCTTCAAACAACTACGGAGAAGTTATGAGAATGATAGATACATCATGTCAAGAGCACAACACAAGCAGGGATAGACGGAAAAAATTTTAAGTCTGGCGCGCTCAATCTAAACAAGGAGAAACTTCACTCTCCCCAGATTTCCTCCTTTCCCTAGTCCCCCACGTTTTCTTGTCGCTCCTCACGCTTTTACATCGCCACGCGCGCTTAACACAGGAGAATACAATAGAAATGAACGAACAAATGAAGCCCTTTCTCGGGTTTTAATTAACTCTCTTGCCACCTGCTGCCATTTTACAATGTACATACTGCATTGAATCTCTTTCATGCTGTTCTGTTGTATGATCGTATTCAGCAAACTCGAATCCATGGCAAAATCTTCGACTTTGGAAGTGTTAACTCCTTCACAGATAACATTACCGACACTAAACCGTTGTCACGGTTTTTAGAACAATCAACGGGTGAATTTTGGCAAAGTTTATTAAAGCAAGACATCGAATTTAGTTGAACAATTTGGTGGCAGCCGAGGAAAGTGATGCGCCGAAGGAATCTAACGCGTAAAACTTTTCTCATTGCTAGATATTGAAAACTAAATTGAGATCTCTCCGTCGTGGATATTGACGCGTGTTTATGTGCTTTATTCGCGAAAAACAATGGAAAATACAATGGAACCCGTTAAGGTGCCCATCCATCAGGTATATTGTGTGTTAACAATGGCTAAGGAACATTGCCTTCGGCGAAATTGAACTAGTGGAAGTTACAAAAATGTTATTAACGTGGACACTCCTTTTAAAACTCGGGAAACTACGGCTGAATTTCAAGTAATGTTCGCATGATTTATTTCTTCACTTTCTCTTCATGACACGAGCTTTGCCTATCGAGAAGCTATTGTTTTACGCAACCTCATCAGATATTCAATTGTCGTATAGATTTTCGATTTAGAATGTGCAAATATATGTTACAAATTGGGTTTCTTGAAAACCCATGAACTGAATCAAACGCGCTTGCAAGATTGTAGTTGTTAGCAAAAACGCTGTGGTCCTCCAAGTTAAAGATTATTTCTTACAATAAATTTATAAACAATATGCTGTAATCCTCAATTAACTTCATGCAAACCAACCTTATGGATAAGTCAGTTTTTGTAATTAAAAATAAAAATGTCCTCAACAAGATTGTTGTTGAACTTGTAACAAAGGAACCCCGCGATCAAGAAATGTAAACTATGGCTTAAAATGTCTCTTGCGTAAGATTTCGCGTGCAGTTTTCTTAAAGTTTTCTCAGTTTTTTTCACCACCTGGTGCCGTAGAAATATTGATTTGTCGGCGGGTTAACCAAAACGTACGGCGCTCTGTGGGAAAGTGAGAATTCTTCTTCGCCTGTAATTCCTTCAGGAGGACAGTAGTTACATCTCACGGGAGAGTAGGGCATCAACTGCACCGTGTCTCTTTCGCTAGAGAAATGACTTGGCAAGAAATTACACTGGCTTTGAAATGGCGTTAGATGAAAGTTTGGGGAATGACCAGGCGGTACTGCCGTTCTTGACAAAGCCAGGCGCTCGTCACGGACGTTGAAGCCGTCTGTAAATGCTCTCTTTCGGACCTTTTCTTGCACACTGAAACTTTTGCTGGTGTCATATCTTTGAGTGAAGGCATAAGGTGAGGCCCTGGATTGCAACGAGAACTTTTCGTAATTCTCCGGGATGCGTTCTTTCGCCGGGACATTTCCTGAAGCGCTAATGCAAGTTTGGTTTGCGTGTTCCGTCTCCTCTCTCTTTATAGATACTTCTGTTCCTTGCAAAAGTTCTTTTTTGTTCAGTTGTTGTGCGCTTTCTCCCTCTTGCCTGTAATCTTCCGGCGAAGAGGAAGACCGATGGCAGGCACACAGAAAAGTACTGCACGAGTCACCATGGCTGACGGGCGCGGAGTTGTGCTTCAAGTATTTCTTCTTTGGACGCCTTTTTGGCCGGTACTTATAATCAGGGTGCTCGATCATGTGTAACTCGCTTATCAGCTTGGCTTGCGCGAAAAACTTCTGCTTTTCGTCCTCGGTGAGTTTCCTCCACTCCGAGCCAAGAATCTTGCTGATTTGGGAGTTATGTAGTCTTGGATTTTCACGTGCTAATTCCCGCCTCTTGCGACTTGACCAAATCATGAACGCGTTCATTGGGCGTTTAACGTGACTCTCGACACCAGACATGGCGTTTTTCCAAGAAGATATTTCACTGTTCGTGATTCAAAAGGGTATTATTCACCGCCCAGGGCTGTTGACTTTGTCCGTTTGCCTGTCTACGATAGCTCTTTAAAAAGCTTCTCCTTTTAAGTGTCGCGTACGTTCAAACAGAGACTCTCTTTCTCCCGACAGGAGAGCGATTTCTCATATAAATTCACCTCAATTAGCTAAGTACGACACCAAAGCTCCCTACCTTGCGAGCGTTATAGATGCTTAGAAAACCACCTTCGTATTACTGGCTGTTAGAATTTAAAACCGCGCTTTTATGCCTAGACATTAAACAAAAGCCTCTTTTGTGTTTAATTAATGTTTAATGTCAGTTCAAGTGGTGAAAGTGTCTGTAACAACTTGTTCATTTCGTATCGGGGAAAAATCAGCTGTTTGTTAATTTCTTTCTGCTACGAGTGCGCGTCGAAACCCTTTGAAGTGTTCTGTCTAAGACATACATGTTTCATTGATATTTTTAATTCAACTACTCAAGGTCGCAAAGTTTAACCAGTCCATAAAATCGTTATCGCCCCCACCTGGTTAGTTTGTTTTTTTTTGCTTGATATCTCGTCAAACGCGGGGTATTTTCTTGGCTTGCATAATTAATGTAATCCAGCTTTTAAAACAATGGGTCTCATTTAAATGGTGGCGTATGAGCTTCTTTGAAGTACTACACAAAACAAACGAGCCTGTTGTTGTGGGCGCACACGGAGAACTTTCTTATCATATCTGGGTGAAGCACAAGTGTGGCTTCCTTCCCTTCAAACGCTCCAAAAAGCAAAAAATGCCCCTAATAAACTAAACGTCAGATTTAAAGCTATTTACACAGCAAGCTCTCAACAAGTTTACTTCAAAATAACAATGGAACTCATCAAATACGAATATGTTTTGCTCAAATAAATTATTCATTCTTTATGTGTAGTTCATGGCTTTCTTGTCAAAACAAACTTTTACATGACAATGACAGATAAAAGCGAACTTTCAGCCCATTGAAAGTGAAAAAGCCTAAACACGGTTCTATCAGACAGGAAGAATATTTTGTATTTCTTTATTATTTTCAACATTGTGATTAAAAGTGTGTTTGCAACTGTTGTGTCGAATGTTTGCTCGGGAATCGTCCCTCATATTTGCCAAAAGTCGTGTTTGTTTCCAATGCAGGTGTTTTCAGAGAGAGAAAAACTTGTAAAATAGTTTCTCTAATTTGCAGTAATTAACTCTAACAGACCCACTCGTAAAACGACTTGAGCAGTGAGCGTAATCGGCGCAAAACTTTGTCTCTTGGGACAATAAATAAAGAGAGACATAAAAAAAACTGTTTTTGTGGGGAAAACAGGGAGAGAATTTTCAAAGAAACTGGTTTTTTTTTGCCGTCTGTTTTATGTTTTCACGACATTTTCGTACACAGATGTATCTCCCTTTCGGCCAGTCCTGAAAAAATAAACTGCAAAGTAGTCTAACATCAACCAAATTTTTTAGGAAGAACATTGCTTCAAACAGCACACAAAGTAATGCGATATGTACTACTTCAAACAAAGCAACAGCAACAAAAAAAGAATCTATTTCACGAAGTTTACGTTCATGGCCCACGTAGAATTATTTTGCCCTGGATTCCCTTAGTTATTTGTCATTAATTATTGACTGAAAAAGCTCTCTAACTTTTAACTCTATGATTTTAAATTATACTGAAAATGTGGACTTAAATTCACATGAAAACCATTGAGCAGTAGTTTTATGTGTTGAACTTAAGTTTGCTGTACAAGGTGGTTCTGACTTTTCCGTCTGCGGATGAAACCCTAGTGTGTGACCATTCAAATGAAAGCTATTGAGCAGTACTTTCATGTGGTACTGTTTAGTATGCTGCACAAGGTGGTTCTAAATTTTAAGTTTGTGGATNGGATGAAACCCTAGTGTGTGACCATTCAAATGAAAGCTATTGAGCAGTACTTTCATGTGGTACTGTTTAGTATGCTGCACAAGGTGGTTCTAAATTTTAAGTTTGTGGATGAAACCCTAGTGTGTGACGATTCACATGAAAGCTATTGAGCAGTACTTTCATGTGTTACCGTTTATTGTGCTGTACAAGATTGCTCTTACTTTTACCGTCTGTGGACGAAACCCTAGTGCGTGACCATTGAAAAGAAAGCTATTGAGCAGTTATTTCATGTGGAACTCGTATTATGCTAAATTAATTGTCGGTTTACGAATGAAAATCTAAAGTGTGACCATTCAAATGGAAGCTATTTAGCACCACTTTCATGTGGTGCTGTTAGTTCGGAGTGATTATTTCCATGCGAGTTTTTATATAATTTGTCAAATTTGGTCAAATTTATATTTTGTTACTCTTCAGGTGGTAAAGAGTTAATCATGATACTGAAAAAGGTTTTATATCAAACATTTATGAAACAGCTGACATCCTGACATCACGTGGGCTCCAGAAGGCCACTTAAAGTTTTCATATTGTCAGGCAACCCAGTGAAAATGTCTACTATTCAATAAATAAACATAAAACTGGCCGGCTTACTTGTAAATTAAAAGTCATATCTGTCATATGTTAGCTTAGTAATTTTAGGAACAGTGGAACAGTTTATTAATAAGCGCACTCGTTAACGACTATCTCGTCAATATTGAAAGACTATGTTGTCAATAATGAACACAAGGTTGAAAAAAGAAGGCGAGTTGAAGTGCAATAATTGATTGGGGTTTCTTTATTTTGGGGCTAAAAAGGTATTTGAAGATGACCTCTTTATTATGTAAATAAATATACATTGTTGTCATCGAGCGGGTTTGCATAATATGAAGTTATTACCTTTTCAGTTCTCATTGGACGCGATCTAGCACAAATTAGCTAGTTAAGACAAGAAATAATTCAAACATGAAAAGACATTAAATATATTAAAATATCAGGTATACATGAAAGAATGGTGGAGATATTTATTTTTCTAGACCCTCGGGGAAGTTGTTTGTTTAGAAGCCAACGCAATGTGAAAATTATTTTAGTTTTCATAGTAATGCTTCAAAAATGTGCTCGCTCAACTGTCATTACAGAGATGGCACGTGAATTGACGTTATGTCAAGGGATTTCTCGTTGACTGAAAAACAGGAAAACCCAATTGCAATAGATGATATCGTTCTAAGAATTTAAACAAACAAATAAATTGGGAGTAACTATGGTCAGAAAAAATAACCAGCAACGGCTATATGGTGTTATGGATATTTCTTATTTTTACAAAATTAATTTGATCTAAGTTGAGTGACGTACACCATTTTTTTTATTTTAATCATACTTAATATAACTCTTCAGGGAAATGTCTTCATTTGGAAAGATTGTGTTTCAAAGCCTTATTTGAATATTAGCACATTATTTGCAAGATTCATTACATTTAAGAGTTTTAGGAGAGAAAACTTCAATGTCCTTTACATAGTAGCTTTTTTCACATTTAGCACCGTGAAACTATTATTTTTAACATGATCTTTAAGAAACTCAAACTGTTGAATTTGGCTCACTATCTGTCAACACACAAATTATGAACTGATGAGCTTAATGGAATCTTCTAGATTCTGTCATCTAACTAAAATCAAGATTACTTCAATATTTTCAACCTAGACCTTTCCACAAATATCCGATATTGTTTCAGATATTAGAGGCTTCTAAGATATGTAGAAAATATTAAGATGTTAGAAAATGTAGGATCTTTTGAAATATGTGTAGCTTTTGAGGGCTTTATAGCTCTTTGTTTTCCTCCCTATTTTCTTGAAAAAATACTCAGTTCTACAACAAAGACAATCCATTTCAGCAGTTTTCCGTTTGAAAAGTGTATTCCATATCATTAATTTATATAAAAGCGCTAAATCAGCAATTTTCCAAAATGGCAGATTCTGGTAACATCGACGTGCTTGAATCTTCTTCCTCGACTCTTATTACTACGAGAAAAAAGTTTGAAATTTTTGGCCTAAGTCATTGAAAATCGTTCTATTTTTAAAACAAAGATATGAGATATGTAGCGGGTTTTCGGGAATTTCCGAAAATATATATTTAGGCAGGAGCCCACGGGCTCCTGATTTAGGTGATTTTACGTGATATTCGTGGAAAGGCCTATTTCAACCTTAGCATTGTTGTTGTAAGACAAAAGGTTTCCTATTTTTCTCCTAAACACCAGGATTAAAATCTTTCAAATTACCAGTTCTTTACAAAGTATTTCGGTACCATCAAAGACATTTACCCCAATAAAATCCGTCTGATTATTGGATGACTCCAACATGTTTTGGTGTTTGAATTCAGTCAAAGGCTTCCTCGTAACGCCTCGCTTGCCAGCAAATTAAACTCTTGAAATATTTAAAGCGATTCCACTGAATTGCACTGCGCAACCTTGCTGCGCATAATTTCTCGCGTCACTATAATAACGCGCGCTCGAGAGCCGGCCTGTACCGACATAACATTAAGAGATTTCCATCAAGTTAAGGCCAAGTCCACAGTACGGCGGAGGATTTTGAAAACGCAGGTTTATTTCTACGGTTAGGTCTTCCGTCTACACCATCACGAAAACGGAGCTTTTCGAAAACGCTCTTCAAACCAGAGAAACGGCTTGTCGTTTTCGTGTGGACGGAAAAACATTTTGAAAACGGAGCCTTTCGAAAACGATGAAGTCACGATGATTAGGTGATTTCCCTGCCCCAGTTTTCCTCAAACGCAAATCCAAAGTGACCGTGATTGTTGCGTTTTCAAATTTCTCCGACGTGGCGTGGAAAGAAAATATTTGATGAGTTTTCAGAGTGAAAACAGTGTGTTCAGATTTATCTAGCGTATTGTGCACGGAGCCTTATTTGAATACTGTAGAAAACATGTCTTAAGGAAATACTGGGTATTTTCTCTTGCAACGACTTCTTTCATTTCTTTCGTAATCTTTATTCCTTTTCAATTAAAATAGTTTATAACATAAGACCAAAGACTAGCACTATTTTGTTGAACGGCTCTAATATTTTGATGCAAGTAATAACTTTCTTCAGAAGTTCTAATTTCTGTTTTGGATTACCTGAATTCCTAGGGGAAACCTCGCGGATCGAATGATTCCTAAAACGACCATCCATTTTGTGCGAAAAAAGATCAGGGTGACGCCCATTTTTTATCGCATTTTTGTAATACACATAACGTGAATAGCAAATAGACTGAGTTTGTGAATATTTTTAATACTCCTTCTTTTTCGATGGAATCACTTGAAAACTTTTGTTACTTTAAGTAGAGTGTATAA